AGGCTGGAGGAGAAAGAGAAATGCCATGGCTAGGCAAAGCAGGGAGAAGCAAAGGAAGGCTGGTCGGTCCATCAGCCTAGCAGCAGCAGATTCTTCTGCTGCAGAGAGCAGCACCCAGGAGCAACTCTAATAAAGCCCCACCACCACCCAATTCACTGACACTATCCAGAAAGAAGGCTTAAAGCACTGAAGCATAACATCACAGGCTGTAGCCTTAGGTTTACAGTCTGAAATTAAGGAATGACACCTAGGCAATGAAAGAGAAGCAGTTCTATCTAATTTTTAAAATGTTGAAAAGGTCTATCTGATGCTATGCCTAGCTCTCCAGCTCAGAGAATTGGTTAGAATAACCCCTGTAGGGGAGAAGGGGTCCAGTTCCTGCTTCATGGAAAAAGCCAGGAGTAGGAAACACAAGGCCAGCAGGACCCAGATAGACTCCACTGTCTCAAAATTCCTCTCTCTTTTAAAATACAAACAAATGGCACACTATAGGGCCTCATAGCTACTGATCACTACTATGCTGCCAAATTCTAGTTGTAAAGCAGTGAGTTTAAAAATTGTATTTTACTTCCTTCCCAGTGCAACCTGTGGTGGTGGGAATCTAGGGGCCAAAATGGCCTCTGGACCTCCTTCAATTGTCCTTCCTTCAAGAAGGGGGATAAAAACGTTACCCTGCTGAGAGTTCACTTTTCTTCCTTTTCTATTAACAGGAAGTTTTAAGACCTGTCAAGCATATTTATTTATAGTTAAAATTGGTCTGGAAGTCAGCAGCCAGAATTTTTTCTTTGCTACTTGCAGAGATAAAAGCCAAAGAACTGAATCTCAAAGATCATGTCTATTTCAGATTCTTTTGACTGAAATGTAGTATCTATTTTAAGTACTATGCAGAAAATTTCCAATATTTAATACACAGATACAGTTGCCATTTGATCACAAACAGCAAAATTCCCATTACATTTATTGGCTCAAATGTATTTCATTTTTTCAACATTATTTTTTTAAAATAAACATATATGCATTTTGTTGTTGTTAGTCGTGAAGTCGTGTCTGACCCATCGCAACCCTATGGACAACATTCCTCCAGGCCTTCCTGTCCTCCACCATCCCCCGGAGTCCACTTAAGCTCACACCAACTGCTTCAGTGTCTCCATCTATCCACCTCATCCTCTGCCGTCCCCTTCTTCTTTTGCAATCTATTGTTCTCAGCATTAAGCTCTTCTCCAGGGAGTCCTTCCTTCTCATTAGGTGGCCAAAGTATTTGAGTTTCATCTTTAGTATCTATGCATTTTACATGTCCGCAGCAATGCATACATAGGAAACACATATATCAAATGCAACTTACTGGCAACTATAGCAAAGTTTCAACAAAAGCAGACCAGATATCCAAATAACTATACAGCACTTGTTGAAATGTTGGAAGTATTCCTTAATCTATTTCATTACAGGAATTAAGCATTTATCTTTCCAACACTGTAGTATCAGTCTTTTTGTTGTCAAGATAGCATGGAGAATCCATTTATGCTGGCTTCATTAATTTCCATAAAGCAAATAAACTGTTTTAATAAGCATGGATATAAGCAAATATTAAAGACTGTTTCGATCATCCAAAACCCTCTACCCCAAAAAAGTAACTACTGGACACTGCCAAAACATATTTTTGGAAAAAGCATCAGCTACACTGCACTGACAATAATTGACCATATTAGACAATCCCTTATTAAAGGGTCATTGCCGTGTCCAATAGACGTGAAAAATAAGTTATCTCTGCAAAAGCAGCCTAAATTAATAGATGTGATAGGATCTTAGAAATAGCTACTCCTGTCTGAGCTACAAAAGCTAGTCAAAAATTGTACATTTTCTCTCTCTCTCTCTCTCTCTCTCTCACACACACACACACAGAGCGAGAGCGAGAAGAAGAAAGATTGGTTTATGAATCTAAAGTGCTGTATGAAAAAATTTGGTTGCTTACCTGTAATTGACATTCTTTGAATGGTCATCTGTACATATGGGTGTTGTGCCTGCACAATTGCCGCATTCAGGAAAATTCACCTAGATAAACCTAGAATTTTTGGTAGGAACCCCGCCCCTTTCTCCCTAGTATAAATAGGCAAGGCTTCTGCCATATTCCCCAGTGTGAAAGGAGACCGTCATTTTGGCCTTGAAACCGAGGATCAGGTTGGAATATAGCCTGTCTGTTAGGATATTATATAGTTTATGACAAAGCAATGGTACAAGAAACCTACACTGCAATCCTAGGCAAATCTGGATGGGTTGTGCAAATGCACAGATGACCACTTGAAAAATGTCAGTAAGCAAACTCTCTTCTTTTTGGTCCCTGTGCTTCACACATATAGATGATTAGCATGCATCACTGTTGCTGGACAGTGCTTGTCCAGGTAAGGACTCAACTGATGGACCAGCCGAAGCTGGAGAAAGGCGTTCCTTACCACTGCTGTCACCTGGATTACTAATGCCAGCTCTGGGTCAAGGAGTACTCCCAAGCTGCAGACCCTGTCCTTTACAGGGAGTGCTACCCTGTCCAGGACAGGACCAAAATCACTTACCTGAAAACCTGAACCGCCTACCAAAAGAATCTCCATCTTATCTGGATTGAGTCTCAGTTTATTGGCCCTCATCCAGCCCACTGTGGATACAGATGACCTCTTCCGCAAGGGAGACACTGAGTCTTTTTTGGCTGCTATCACGCCTTTTTTGGAGGCATAATCAGCTGGGTCAGATGGAGATGAACTGTTTGATTTTGAGGTTGATGGGGCAATGGAAGCTGTTGTGTGGCCATGACTTCTTTTTGGCATCAGGTGGGTAAGAGATTGGTGACCAGTGGATGGGCATGTTGTACTGGTCTCCATGGTTCCTGTGGTCGAACAGCAGTCAGTGGCCATGGATAGCAATATGGACCTTGTTCCCAGGAGTACCCTGTATAGTATCATTAGAGGAAGGGAAGAGGTGCTCCCCCGACCCCTGTCGGCATTATGCTTCTTCATTCCAGGTTAGTATGAGAGCTCTGAATCATTCCATGGGCAGACAGGTAGATGCTGGTGCTTGTGAGATGATCTTGAAACATGGGAGTGTTGCCAGAGAAGCTTGCTGCATTCCTCCATGCTGGCACAGAGTGCTTGCCGAACAGGCAGGAGATGTGATCTGATGAGCTGATGAATGGAGAGGTGAATCCTGTATCTTCCCTTGAGAGGAGTGGGCTGTGGTTGATTTGGGCTGTGTTTCAGGTTGGGCTGATGTAGGAATGGCCAAAGACAAATGGGCACACTCCATGGTAGTTGGGAAACAGTGCCTGGCCTTTTTTTCAGACTTTACCTTGCCCTTCTTTATGGCCATTTTCAGCTCCCCACCATTTTGTGAGGCCTCTTCTCCTTTTTAAGCCTTTCTACATCTGGTGCATGTTTAGATTTTTTTAGGCACCAATGGAGAAGTTGGTGGAACCCCCACGGCCGTAAACATGACTACACAGTGTGTTGACAGGCAATTTTGTGGGTCCTCTGTGATGGCTTGCATAGCCATAAGAGCCTAGTCCACATCTCCATCTTTAGACAGCCTGCCCTGCTCTTCCTGGCTTGTTTGGTAAAAGCCAGGCAATGTGGGCAGGTGTCTCTTCAGAGTTCCTCACTGAGACAAAAGAGGCACGAGGAGTGTCCCTCCAAAGACATTTTAACTCTGCACCTTACACACTCTATAAAGACCATCTTGAGAGCCATTGAGGGCAGAAGAAAATACAAAGAAAGATTTGAAGTAAGAAGACAACAGAAGAGGGGGGTTGTGTGGCAAAGCAGGGAAAGGAAAAAGAAGACATAACAGCAGAGATGAAGGGGAAGGGTTGTGAGGTAAACAATCAAGAGAAGTATGAGGTAAAAGCATTTGAAAATAGTGAAGCTAGGAAAGTCCCAAGGCACTGAAAAAGGTGGACTCCATTCGAACTGGAGTTCCTTTCCCCTAATATAAATAGGCAGGCCTCCCACCAAAAAGTATTCGAGATCCAACCTCAAAAAGAAGCTTTTAAACAACATAGCCAGCATTACAAAAGATGTTGTACATTGTTTTTCCAGTAAAGAAACATGTCAGCAAAAAATACAGTCCAGCTTTCTCCTTACAGTAGTAACAAAGTATTAAGCAACTTACCTCTACTGAGAAGTTACACATTAAGTGATGACAGTTGACATATGAACACAAGCCATAGGCAATTCTATGTGAGGTGGAGGGAATTCACCAACTCACAAATAAATTTTTACCAGCCTGCTTGTATACAGCAGCTAAAGCTGGCAGTGAGATCAAACATGGAACTGAAGAAATACAGCTAATACAAAATGCTTTGTAATGCTGCTTTAATAGTTCAGTTACTGATTAAAGCCTCCACTGATATATGGAAAGAGTTGTGACAGTCAAGAATGGCTTTGCAACCCAAGGTATCCTTATTTTAGACCCTACCAATAGCACTGGCAGACTCCTAATTGAAAAATGGAAGTCTTTATCCCTGAAGTTCATAAAGCTCCAACAAATAATGTTCTTTATAAAAGCAACAAAGAAGGTGGACTGGAGATAGCCATTATGCATATACTACATAGGTGGTACTAACCTATGGAACAGGACAGAAACTCCAAAACAAAGTGAAAAGTTATGGCCATTGCCCAAAAATAAGAGAGAAAACTGTACTCAGCTTCAAAACATGAGTGCAGGTTAGGCGGAAATACACCAAATAATTTCTTCCCTGTATCAAATCCCAGGTTACAAGGCCCCCACCTGAATTTGAGAAATTGCTATTAGCATGTGAGCCTATTTTAAAGAGTATTACTATGTCACAGCTATTCAGAATGAAGAAATTAGAAAACTGATTAAATAATGGAGGGCTTTGTGGTTCTTGGTTCCATTAAAGATGGCATTTTTACATCGGTGTTAGCAAATACCCTAAAACTGTTAAAGGGTGTATTTGGCACCCTTAAGGATTAGTTATATTTACAAAGATGCTAGTTCACTGTGTTGATGGCACTAGGTTCTTCCTTATGTGGCAGGGCTGTAAGAGCTCAGTCTTTCTTGATTTTTCTTTAAGAGGGTAGAGGAAATCACAAAGCAGAGAACAGAGTTTACCTCAGTCTTTGATTAGCTCATGGTTTCATAAAGGAAGAAACAGGTTTCAGGTTATTAGCTTTTATGAAGCTGCTCATGGGTGACAAAACTGAAGGCTAAACAAGAACAATCCTTATGCAGTTAGATATTGAAATTTTGGAACATTGCTCTAATGAAAAAGTCTACAACGTATATTCAGGCCCAAAGCACAGCACAAATGCATAATGTTTATACTATTTGGGTTCCATTCATTGAATATGCAACACACAATTAACTGGGCGTAATTCTTCCATCTACTCATGACAGCTCGGGAAATGATCCGTTCTGAGGTAAAGTGCTAAAGCTCACTGCTACACATGATATGTTTCTTCCTCTATTAACACTGTAACCTTCCTATGTATGGTCATTCAGTTTGTACTGATGATTTTGCTTTTAGGTATGTTGGGAGAGTTATAATAAAACAATCAAGATAGCTAACCTTATTCAGGGAAGAAAATGACTTGAGAGAAGACAAGTTTAAACATGGATCTTGTAGGCTGATAACTTAATTCAGGACTGCAATTTTGAGTTATACTTCCCTAGGCTGGAATATTGTACATACTCCCTTGGAGCAAAGCCCATTAAAGTTAGTGGGGCTTACTTTTGCATAAAAATACACAACCACAAACTTCCATTTCTTTCTACTTATCCATGGTCATCATGTTCTGCCCTAAAGTTTCATAATGAATTTATTTGAACTTTTTTGGTACCTAAATTATCCCATGTATCAGACCCAACTCTCAAGCAAGACTATGAGAAATGTTATGATACAAAAAACTTATCTTTTATTAAGTGTGTTCTGAGCCTTTGGTAACAATGCCAAGCAGTAAACACACAATTGTAAACTCAGTTCAATATATATAGAAACACAGAAACAGAGCGAATCAGAAGGGGCCTCCCGGGCCATCTAGTCTGACCTCCGGCACCAGCCGGCTCTGCTCACGACATGCCCACCATGTGCACGTCCAGCCCATCCTTGAACACCCGCACCGATGGGGCCTCAACGACCTCTCATGGAAGCCCATTCCACACCCTCGGGGTCCTGACTGTCAGGAAGTGCTTCCTGGCATCCAAATGGAACCTTGGCTCCCTGAGCTTTGCTCCATTGGAGCGTATCCTGCCTTCCCTAACCCAGCCTTATATATTGCAGCCTTCCCTAACCCAGTGCTCTCTAGATAATAACCCAGAATTTGCTCTTGCTATAGCCCTCATCCAAAATTGTGGGCTAACTGGCACCTTCTTAGTTCACTTTCTGTACTGCAATTTAAAGCTAAGTAGTCCCACTGACTTGTCCTTCTAGGTTATTGCCACAAAGTGCCCAGTCTAAAGTATTACTAAATTTCAGTCTCCTGCCTTTGACAGTTTTATTCTACAAGCCAAAATATTCCTGGGAAAAAATATTTCAAAATCTCCTTAGCAATAGTTGTATGAGGTACTTTTATACCTCACACTATAGGTCCCAAAGAAAAGAACAAAACAAAGATCAATATAAACCATGGTCTCTTTTGAAAGTTAAGATTCTGGCTAAAACTCCCAAAACCAGAAATAAAATCCTTAAGGGAAAGCTTTGACATTTTCTTAAGTAATTTGGTCAAAGAAAATGTAAATGGGCCAAGGAAAGAGATGCAGATTTTCTTCTTTTGTATATATCCTCAGGAAGCTCAAAAATTACCTGTGCTGGTTGACAGCTAAAATACATTCTTATGTTGACTAAAACCTCCTGGGAGAAAATTTCACCAGAGCAAAGGTTTTTAATATGGAGCATTTTTCTTGCTAAAGACATTTTAATCTGGCATAAAAAATGTCCCCAAATGCAACCAATGCTAGTTTCTTGTTGAGGCAGGAAAATTAAAACCCTCAGCTTGAAGTAGGCCATAGTTTTTACACCTAGTTCTCTCAGTCACTGCCATCTCAGTCAATAAGTTAACTGTTAGGGTTAACAGACTGTTTAGTTCAAGTAGTTTCCCGTATCACACATATGGTATATAAAGTGTGCAATACTAGGGAATAATTTGAGATGTTTGAAACACTGAATCATTTTCTGCCTCAAACCTTAGAAAGTTAAGGAGAATGTACATTAATGGAAAGATGCAAAGGCTTCAAACGTGGGATCTACTTGCTTTTTTAAAATGAGAATCCAGAGTTTCAGTAACTGAAGTCAAACAATGCAAAACACTGGCAAGTGGAAGGAGGGAAAAGGGGGTTTGGTATTAAAGAACAGGGTGCTTCTGAGCACATGTAATAATAATATGTAGCCCAGGAATTTGTTTCCTGTACAGAATGGATCTCATTCCATTTTTATTTTACAAATAAAATAAATCACTCTTCATTTCCCTTGCCAGCTCTTTCAGGGGTGTTCACATAAACCCATCTGCATGACCTAGTACTCCCCGCTTCTGGAAGCCATAGTCTTCTCCTCTGAAAAGCTTCCAATGTACAGATGTACATGCAAAGAACTCCCACACTCAAAGAGCACTCTAATCAATCTGTATGTGCACAGACCGCTTTTTTATGCAGTTCTAAAAAAAGAAGGAAGTTCCTGCAGTCCCCTTCACATATTTTTTCAATGAATTCGGGACATTGTGCATACCCTACTTTTGTTGCAACCTAATTTTAGCTACAGCCCTAGAGGGTAGGACTGTAGAGGGTAATTACCATTACAGAGGGTAATTACCATTGAACACACTGGGACTGAATAAAGATGTTAAAGACTGCCTTGTGAGAGAGATGGGAAACCTTCCATGGCTGTTATTGTAGAAACAACCAGGAGACAGAAACACTTGTCAATCTTTCATAAAATCTTCAGAGATTGAAAAGAGCATAGGAGATCCCTTTCACAGCATGGGAAGTGTGATCTGAGTGAGATTTTAGCAGGAACTTAACAGGAAAGCCCCAGTATGGAAGCCATTGAAATAATTAGGTGAGATTTGGTGGTGCTTTTATGCAGCTCTGTGTAGAACAAGATTTAATAGAATGCAGAATACTGGGCTAATGGAACTAACATAGCAACAATGTAAGCTTTGATCTATTTAGATTTGTTTATATGCAGGAAATTCTTCTCACGTTACATTTCTCAGGGCTCTTAGGACAGGACAAAGCTTACAAAATTAAAAGGTTCACACCCACTTGCAGCATAGAGGGAAAACAAGCAGTCAGTTTCCAGACTTTTCAAATAGAGTTAGGCAGACATTTGCTTAGATATTTGCTCAGAATTAGAAAACCATGTAAGCACTTGAAAGGAGCAATCCCATGGCCTCTACAAAACATCTGAGGGTCCAAATGACATTTCAGATTTCCTCATTTGAGGTTGGGGACAGTATTTATTCCATTTATTTCATGTTTATTGGGGACAGTATTTATTCCATTTATTTCATGCTCTCTGAGTGATTAACAGAAGTTAAACAAATTTTTAAATGACACACACAAAATTAATTTAAAACAACAAAACCACAACAGTAATTGCAATTGAATGAGCACATAAGTATAGCATTGGTACAGAATAAAATGCAATATATAATACCAAAGTTAAAAAGTTAAACTGTTAAAATGCTGGAAAAATTAAAAGGTCTTCACCTGGCACTCAAAAGAATACAAATCAGGAACCATTCCACAACCCAGGTGTGAAAACAAAAAAGATCCTCCTCCTGGTAGCCAGCTGCCTCACCTTCTTTGGAAGGGGATCCCAAGTACTCTTTGACCTTAGAGGGTGGAATTGGAACTCCAGCCCTTTTCTTCTCATAGCTGGCATGGAAAGAACTGTGCCAGCTTACCTTTAAGGTTGACAACTCAGAGAAGGGGGCATGTGGTTGGCAGAGAGGGCAGCAAATTATCCTGAGGCCTCTGCAGCTCCCTTATTACCCCTTTCATGTGCCCAAGGTAGACATGCAAAAAAGCCTGCCTAGCAAATTGCAGCAGGAGAGGCCAGATCACCTCCATGCCCCTTCTGCCCTGCAGAAAATAACTCTGTTAGCATCAGAGTTCAAGGGGTTATGATCACAGAGCACACATACCATGGGCCTGTGTCCTAAAAATATCATTAACAACCAAACTGAATTAATTTCCACTAATGGCAGATTTAAATGTCTCCGTATTAGTGCTAATGGGCATGGGCCAGAACCGCACTTTAGTACCCAGGATGGGGAGGAGGTTAGAAGGCTTCTTTGCTTTCAGATGGGAAAGGATAGCCCATGTGAAACACGTTCAGATGCACAGTTCCTTCTACCAAATGTGGCCCCTCATCATAGCAAAGTCCTTACTTTGTTATACGTAAAGACTTATGTAAATAGCCACACCTGCTTATTCCATGTAAAGACTATTCTCTTCCCAAGTCTCTTAGTTATAATAAAAAGCTGGGTGGGGAAGTCTCTTGTTATAGAAAACTCTCAGTATCCTTCAAACAAAAATCTTGCTTGACAACTCATCTTCCGAAAGAAGACATAACTTCCCTTAACAAATCCTACGAACTCCAGAAGGAACCCCGCACGTCGGGGTCCCCCAGTGGCACTCGTTGCCTTGCACCGGGGGGCAGGGGGGGAAGAGACTCACAGGCCAGCACTCCGGAGCGGAACGGCATGATCCGTCACCAGAGAAGCGCCCGAAATAATCCGATGTGCCCAATTTCTCTCCCCACACAACGCTGGAGTGCACGCTCACCCGGGACGCCGTAGCCACAGCGAGATCTGAGGAAGCGAGAAAAAGGAGGAAGCGCCCCTCTATACTCTTTCTTTCCGAACCACCACCAAGTCTCTTGAACCGCTCCGGCTGCCATAAAAACGCCCCGCGACACCGTTACCAAACCCTCCACGGCACCGCTTCCGGAATGCGAGAGGAAACAATATCGGCCGACTTGGGGAATCCAAAATTGCGGCTAACTACCCGGAGAATACAAGCCCCAGAATGCACTGCTCCTTTAGCGTAGGCAGGCGCCCTGAAGTGAGAAAGAATTGCATTCTGGGAGGCGTAGGCTCTAAAGTTTAGAGAAGTCCCTGTGTGGAAAACTCGGCCATTGAACCTCTCATTCTCAGAAACAAGTGATTTCTGGTAAAACACCCTTTGTTTCTGTTTGTCGTTTCTAGTTGACTGGATTTTTTCTTCCTTGATAAAGCAGAGAACACTGGTGTAAACAATATGCAATATTAATTATAACCCCAGTCATGTGACATTCGAGTAATTACTAGACACACCACTGCTATCCACGTTTAAGTTGCAATTCCGTAAACTCGTGGATGGGAATTAATCCCTTTACTTTCACTGGTATCAATTGCAGAATAAACATGTGCTGTTGAGTGCTTTGCGATGACACATCGCTAGCTACATTTCTTGTATTGTGGTGAACATAAACATTTTAGCACAGGACAAACGTGTCTGGGAGTCCACATGAGCAAGACTTTTTCCTGTGGTCACCTTGCATTGACTGAAGTAGTCCTAGATACAGGCTCCAAATGGGACGCAATGGCCTGAATCTATTTAGCAAATATTTCTAGTTGCCAGTAGATGGCTCTCTTAAAGTCTCATTTGCATAATCAGCACTTTTTCCACCCTCAGGGAAAACATTTTTATGTCTAAAATTTTAGCTTGACAGTAGTTACTAAAAATAGAGCTAACGTTTACATACACACTAGTTAGTTTCCGTCTGTATGGTAAGAATCCCAAATAAATGCATACTTTCATAAGAGCATACTTTCATAATAGTTATCTGCTAATTTTCACCTGTATAGTTTGGAAAAAAAATACTTCAGGCATGGCATGTATGCATATAATTTTCTTCTCTGCAATTATATGAATTCCTTACTAGAGTGGGCACTGAATAGGTCATCAGAATTGGTGTTGAACGTACTG